CACACACACACACACACACACACACACACACACACACACACACACACCGTGTTTTCCCTGATACATCATCTCTTCTCCTTTTTCCTTGTTTCCTCGCAAATCTGGCAGCGATAAATTTACGTGCGTACACGCATGTTGTTAGCACATTCTTGACATTCTGACTGTTTCGATAATAAACACTTGAACTCGCACAACGGAAAAGGCCAATTTACTGTCTCGATCTTGTAGAAAAGTAATTATAACATCCGCATGTGAAACAATTTGCGATGTCTTTCGCGTCTTAACCCTTTAAGCATCCCGTTAATATTCTTAAATGTGGCGTAGAAAGATGAACGTTTTAAAATATAGTGTCGAACGATTTCGATTCGATCGATTTCACGGGAATTAATTAGGCGGGAGTACACACAACTTGTCACTTAATCCCTTGCCCTTTTAATGGCATATATATATTTCAGCTCGCCGTGCATTCTATCAATAATTTTGGAGACTGAGCGAGATTAAATTACCGAGCGTTATTAAATTTCAAACTGTCCTCCTGCGATTGTTATATATATTTCGGCGAATATTTAATTCACGCGCTGGGAAGGATCGAAGATCGTAAGGCTAATTGACTGTATGTGCTCATCCGTGTACTTGTGTGCGTAAAAGGCGCGTGCATAATAAAATATACCGCAGGTGAGATCGGCCATACAAATCGAGTTATTGTACATAAAGAGATTATATGTAAAAGGATAATTATATATATGTTGTTCCAAATTGTGTTTCAATTATATTTCAAATAAAGTATATGTACATACTTGATAAAAAACAAAAGGAGGCTTGTTACATTATGCGCTATATACTTTCGGCAGCTGAACGTGTGTATTCATTGCATCGCACAACACCCAATAAACTTCGATCACGGCATCGATATATTTATTGCTGTGGAAATTGTGAGTCTTTTTGGAGAAACGGAGCCTGCGATGTTATTGCGTTAATTGCTGTCTACATTTCTGCACGTATTACTTTCATTATTTTATTAATATGGCGATCCTTATTAAATTGAAGATTAATCAGACAGGAAGTCGTTTTGCAATATTTATTGATTTCTACACGATGTTGCATTATTATTTTTATTATCTTATATTATTTAATATAAGCAAAATAAGATAATGAAATAAGGGTTAATCGAATATATTAAAGTTTTTTGAATTTGAGCTCTTCGAGCTTGAAGATTTGAGTTTGTGATGCGATTCTCATCCATTATTTACTTTTCACAAAACATAATTATCTTTTTCCTAAAATTGAAATATATTCTTATAAAAAAAAGAAAATATTTTTATAAGATGGTATCGTTTTTATGACAATTGAAATTATTTTCTGCGAAAGAGGAAGCCATATTATTTTATGTGCTATGGAAATTGTAAAGAAATAAAGTCAGCGATATTAGCGATTGCTATTAGCTATTATTTTCACAGATTATTACAGTATTACATTATGTTTATTATCTTTTTTATATAATAAATTAAGGATTAATCGGAAAGCTATTTTAAGATTAAAAAATCAGAAATTGCGTTTGAAATCCAAGATGGATGCGCGATCATCACGAGTTTAATTCAAATTTCACGTACAAGATGTCAGGTCGAGAGTTTTCCACGAGTGACGTACCCTAACCTCAAATTTTTAACGATGCAAGAGGTTAGAGGTTTGCTATAAAACCAAACAGATTGAAAGCACCTTGACTTAACCTCCACCAACCGGTGGGAAACGAGTAAAAAAGAAAGGAAGGGAGAACCTGCTTCTAAAAATTCGTGATCGAATGGAAGGGTGAGTCCCTTTCAACAATAAACGCGTTAGTCAAAGCATCCGCGGCGAATAACGTCCTCGTCTCTCGCGATGAGCGTGCTCGTGCAGGGACTAGGTCGCCTGCGGGGTGCGTACCCGGCGCTGTTGAGGTTGAGGTTAGGCTGCGACAATTGCAACCGCCTGGATCGGGTGTTCAACGCCCTGCTGAAGCGTAAGCGCAGCAGTACCTCGAGCGCGGCGTGGATCGACCCTCGGGTCGTTAGGGCCCAGGGGTTCGTGGTCCCCGCCAACGTCGCCAATAGACCTGTCAACAAGAACGGCGTTGAAATCAGTCCGGACAGGATCCCGGAGAACACGTACGCCCACAATCTCTTTCTGAACTCGACGAAGTACGCGGATATCGTGATGCGGCCGAGCACCACGTACGCTCACGTGACGAACAAGCAGGCCCTGGAGATCCTGGAGCAGGATTGGAGCTCGATGACCAGCGCCGAGACGGCGTCCGCCGTCAAGAAGCTGTCCTACAACGTTTGCCACAACGACGATGAAGAGAAGATCGATCCGCTCAAATACGCGAAGCCCTTCAGCACGTTGAACACGCAAAAGTTGACGGACGACGATCTGATGACAATAATGAAGCACCTGGTACCGTTGAGAAGTCACATGGAGAAGTGTGATTTTTACAACAATCTCTGCGGACGGATAGACAGAGAGTGCATAGTGCGTTTCTCGCGGCTGCCCAGAGAAAAGATGTTGTATCTCTGTGACGTGATATATCAGATGGTGCCCAAGGTCTTTCAGCAATTCTATTCCCAATATATATGGAATTCCATTAGGCAACTAGGCAACAAACCTCATAAGCTTAGTCCCCAACAATTGGTCCAGATTCTGTTCTTTCTAAATATATACCGGAAGCCGCCTATAAACATGTACGAGCTCGAATTCCAATTGGAACGCTGCATGGAAGACTTGTCGATCAACGAGCTGGCTGTAGCGGCGTTGGGTTTCTTCAAGACCAGCACGAAAATCAGAAGCAATGACTTCTTGAAGCGTATCATCCGGAGGACCATAGACGAAATTGATACGGTGGAGACCGTGAGCATCGCGGGCATCATAAAATTAGTGCGGTAAGATAAATGCGACGTGCCGAGTACTCGCTAACTTGCAAACATCTATTTTTAGTCTATTTCACTTCCAGGTACAGCATGATGCTTGGAGAGGTCAAAACATTTGTAGAATTACTGAAAGCTCTGACGCCGTACGAGCCGCGTTACACGTTGATGTCCCTAGCGCACATTGCGCAAGCATGCGGAAGGGTCGCCGTGTACGACAAAGAGCTCATGGACCGAATAATCGGGAGGTAAATTTTATTCCTGCATTCGCTATTCTGCCATCGATATTCGTGATAAATGATGCTGACGATTGATACAATTTCAGATTAAATAGGGAATTAAAAACCGCGAGGTTGAAGGATTTTGAAAGATTTTTTTATACTTTCTCTATTTTTAATATCGATTCGAAAACCAATGACGTCTACGAGAACGTGATCGAAGAATTAAGGGCCACTTGGGACACCACTCGAGCGGCCGAGATAGCAAAGTAATTATTATCCAAACACGATTTTATTTTAAAGTTGCTTTATTTAAACTACAAATCCATATTTTTCGTTTTCTGCTTCTTAAAAAGTGAGAGTTCTATTTCAAAGATATTCACGAGATTTTCCCACGATAGGTTTCCACATGTAGCTTCACGTATTCTAGGATTTTTGACGACACAAAATGTATATCCCATAGACCTGATCAAACTCGTCATGGCGCCCGAACACGTGAACAAGACATGCTCTGGCAATTACCATCATCTCTCGCGTGAATACTGCATGCTGGATTACGGCCTTCGGGTGGAGGTACCCGAGTACGATGGTCCATTGCTTAAACCCAGTATAAGTAGTTTTCTAGAGAAGGTACGCAAAGAAATCGATCGTTTACGATCGAATGGTTTGTCACGTATCGTGTAAGTTCGATGAAAAATAATACGTATTAATAAATTTTATAATTCCAGAAATATTACGAATTGTATCTGAAGACCGGCTCGGCGGACTCGACTCGGGCAAATTTACTTTTCACGGACGTGCTGACAACATGCCAGGTATGTACATGTATTGTCGCATAAAAGATCATCTTTTTCTTTACGTGTATATTTTCTCATAAAGTTTTCTACCTTCTAACAGGAGTTGTTCAACACCACGTCGGACATATCGGTTGTTCGTGCGTTACCGCATTTTGTGACGCAAGACATTGTCTTCTGTATAGACGAGCAAAACCAGCTTGTACCATCAGAGACGTATTGGTCGCAGTTTGAATCGAGTGATATTAAATATGTGAACAAGCAGAATTCGAATATCAGGTGGATCGCCCTCGTCATGGGTCATCATGGATTATTGATACGGAATTGTCTTACGCCTACTGGATCCTTAGCCGCAAAAATGAGGCAATTATCCAAAATTGGCTACACACCGATCATGGTAAGTTTTAGTGAGAAATAAATCAATCTGTGCTAAGAACGATAACGCAAAAATACAAAGCGCTATCTTTGTAATTTTCTGAACAAAAATACAAGTCTTAAGTTAAAAATTGATTCTACATTGATTAAATTCTACATATTATAAGCAATCTTGTTTTTTTTTTTATTATATAATACAAATGTAGTGATATTGCGTAATTTAGCTAACACAACTGGCGCTAATACTTGTAAAATTGGTCTGATAATGTTTTTGATTAGAATAATTTAAATAGTGTAATCATAACAGTAACGTAAGAAAGTTTTAATTCTCTTTGCAGATATCATATGTTTCTTGGGACGCACACAAATCACCGCAGGAGAAACGTAATTACATCAAAAAGCTTGTGTTTCGAGATAATGCGTTAAAACTGTCCAATATTATATAATAGCGCGCAAAACACGTCGCAAATGGATATCTTGTACATCTTTTATTAGGAAAAATATTTCTTGTAATATAAAATATTTCTCATATTACATTATTGTCTGTGCGTATATACATCAATTTTCCTTATATTTACAAATACAGGCGACATTGAAATCGCGCGAAGCACGATTCTACATATCGGTCAGAACAAATGCTTTCGTACGTAGGATATTCGTGGGGTATCAGGTCACGTAAGAACACGGAAATGTTGAAACAGATTTTTAGAAATAATTGTGCATAACTTTCTTCGTGTATTCGACAGTGACGAACAGTGTCGCGGTCGCTGGTACCGTTCTGATTAAAGTCGGCGTCAATCCGTTATACAGCGCGCCGATGCCTTCTTGCCGCGCGATATCCTTGAAAACTATCAAGGCGGGTGTTTTCAAGTTCTGCACCTATTTCAAACAAAACACAATTTCGTTGTAAAAAACGAGAAATATTGAGAAACGTCTCTCTAGATCTACAGCTTTATTACGACACCTTGGCTTTTCAGCGTCGAAGACGTACCTGTATCCTACTCTTAACGACGTCGGCTGGAAATATCGCTAGCCAGAGCATCGCGCCACCGACCGCACCAGCTACCATTGTCTTTTGCCAGCCAATATCATCGCTATTCTGACCCTTCGCAGCTAGCAGCTCCCTCGTGGCCTCGTAGCCACCGAAGAAGAAGAAATAGCCCGGCATTTCGCGGGCTATCGTCGACGAGAGACCTGTAAACATTCCTTTTACACCTTGCTCTCTCAGAATCTGCCTCGTCAAACTCCACGGTCCTATGCGAGGTCGCTAAGGAATAACGGACGGTGTTACTAAAAAATTGCCATCGAAATATTTAAAACAACGTTCACCGGATTATTTACCGTGGATTTTTCCTTGCCAGTTGTCGCTTGCATCTGTTCAACTTCCCTCATAGCCTGTAGCTTGCACTTTATCAACTCCGTTGGGCACAGCGTCAGCGAGGAAAAGAACGCGGCGAAGAAGCCGGCCCAGGCGTTGCTGAAGGAGCTGAGCTCCTTTACGCTCTGTACACCTATAAAAAGAAAGAAGATTAAATTGGCTTAAAAATTCATATTTACATATAACAAATTTTACTGGGGATCGGTAAGTTTTTTTTTTTTTTTATAAATGTTTGATATAATTGGATTAATTATAGTGAGTTATTCCATCATAGTTCACGATTTACCTGATAAATGAGCAATTGCTTTTTGACATCCGCCGTATGCCGCGAACAACACCGAGTTCTCGGCTACATTGGCGACTACCGCCGGGATCGTTCCGGCGTACAAACCCCTTGCGATACCATCTGTCCTTAACGTACGCAGAAAACAATTTACCATGCCTTTGTACATGGACGGGAAGGTTTGCATCTTTACCTTCACCGTGTCCAACGGCTGGCCCACGTAGACAAGTGCTACACCGCCTATTAAATAGCAGTAGAACAATTTGCTTGTGTACGAAAACATATAGAGATCTTTATGTAGTGTCCCAAAACGGTCTCGCAAAAATTATTACTCTACTGACAATTAACAAGTAATCCTTTATCTGAAATATTTTTTCACATTTGATACGGTTGAAGTGCATTAAAATATATTTACTGTAAAGATCAGTAAACCGTTATCTTAATGTGAATTCTAGACTTGTTTACATAATTAATAATTAACATAGTGATATTGATTTTTTGTAAGATTTTATCGGTCTATATCAATAAGCGAACATTTCTTGATAACGTTGGCGAATTGAACACGAGTATAAAACATTACAATTTTCTTGGAAAGATTGCGACAGTGCGAATCATGCAAAAATATCAGATATATAATTTCTATAATAATGCAAAGTTTTTCGTTTTTCAGTGTTAGGAAATGTAAGAACGCGTCGTAGTGATTAGAAATTTATATGATTTAGCTGGGTTTATCAGTCGGTATTTACGTGAAAGATAACATTGCAGGACTGATACTACCGTTATCTTTTCCCATCGAATCTACTACAGACAAATGTATATATGTATTGTTTATCTAAATATTAAGTAGATTATAGAATTTCACGATAAGCAGATAAACAACATTTGGAAATCAATTAATTACTGTGATAAATGCAAGTTGCAGCCAAATGATTAATTTCAGATGCGTCAATGCGAGAGAGAGAGAGAGAGAGAGAGAGAGAGAGAGATAATCCAGGTTTTATACATATATTTGTTAACGTTGAAAATGTTAATATAAATTTTAGATGACTTCCTCCTCTGAGAAACGAAGTTTCCAAAAGTTCTCATTATTAAGTTTCGAAACTTTTTTATTTTTATACTTTACAATCTTCCATCTTTACGTCAATCAATTCTATAAGCATCTTTTTTTAAAGACATCCTTGACTTTGTTCCTCTCGACTTTAGAAATGCTTTGTCGAGAGAAGAAAATTCATCTCCGCGAAGCATGACGCAATTTCCGCGTACGCTCGAGTAAATTCCGATTAATTTAATCGATGATCGACTTGTCAGTCTGTACTATTTTGTTAGCATCACTGGAACAATCGATCTTTTGTTGTTTAACACATGGAGAGGAAGATTAGGGGTAACTTCGACCAAACTTCCGATCGACCCAATTAATTCGACCAGATTATTGCACCAAAATTTCGAACTATTTAATTCGTCATCCTAAATCTTTTTCTTCGGGTCTTTATCAATGCAAAAGAATTTAATAAACGAAGAATTTCTAATTTTTTTTAATAGGAAATTATAACTTGCATGTATTGCTTGGTATTTGCTGAGGCTTTGCTCAAGTTAATCGCTGATTAAGCTAATTAAGCTAATCAGAGCTTGGTCGCTCCGAATTAGGAAATTAACGAATTATGTATGTTTCTCTATGTAAATTATTAACTTTAATTTCGGTTTAATTTACTCTTATCCTTTTCTAATTCTTAGAATTTAGAAACATATATAAAAAGTGAGTTGAACCGAAATTAAAGTTAATTAATTAAAGTACATTGCTAAGTAATTGAACAACAATTGAAAAATAAGATGTCACGGACCCTTAATTATTGATATACAGTAATGCCGTAACTATAGTGTTGCGCCCGGTGCGAGCTCGACATTTTGCCGCCTCCCTCTTCCAAATACTTTTAATTAAAAAAAAATTAATATAAAACTTTAAAAAAGAAAACAATCGCACAGAATATAAAATTAAATGTTATCTAGTATAAAAAACAATAAATATAAATAAACATTAGAAATGCATTTAGAAATTTTGCAGCAGACAGTTCTGCCGGTCGAATTAATTGCCGTTTAAGTTAGACGGGTTTTGGTCGAAGTCTTGAATGCTATCTCGGCAGTAGGATCGGGGATCGTAAACTGAGAGATATCGGGAAGTGGGAACCGCGCGTAGTCAGACAGCCGCGGAGACATTTACCGAGCGAACCGGCCAGGAAATCGATCGCGCCGTCCTTGATGCTTCCGCGGCCGCGTTCCGTCGACACGTGGACCACTTCCGCGCCGATCGGCCCGGCGACGCTGCTTGTCGTCATCGTCCGGGAGGGAAATTTCTTCGGCGCGGCCACGTGCTCTCGTCTTGAGCACGATAAAACAGACGCGATCGCCAGCCAGCCGCGCGCAACGAGCGATACTGACGAATCGAGCGTCTCGCAAAGCGATATATACGTATGTATCTCTGTGGAAAAGAAGCTATTGATATCGTCGCCCTGTCGTTCACGTCTTGTCTTCAACGAGCAGGCTCGGCTCGAGAAATCGTCGGACCCTTAGAAATCCCTGAAAGAATTTCCGTGATTCCGGAATCTCACATTTTATTCTTGTTTCGACGAGAGAGAGAAAGAGAGAGAGAGAGAGAGAGAGAGAGAGAGAGAGAGAGAGAGAGAGAGAATTATTGCGCCTTTACATTTTAGTATAGAAAAAATACAGAGTTGCAATAAAACTACCGCTATTATACAGTTTTAAAGTAAAATATTTTTAATAGCAAATAAATACATAATATATAATATAGATTGAAATAAAATTTAAAATTCTTGAAAAGAGAGAGGGAAAGAAGAAGAATGAATTTGTGTTTCTCGAAGAACGAATGCGTCTTGCCTCCAGTTGTTAATACGAGAAGGCGCGAGAGAGATCGAAAACTGCTAAGATCAGCGTGTAAATCGGGCCCAGTTTCTCGCGCATGCGCGGTGAATACAGTAACAGTGAAGTAGCTAATACAAGAAAAAAGATGTACATACCGTTTAATTAATAGCCCGTACATATAAAAATTTTTGAATTTAAGAAAATAGTAAAAAATATATAATTATAAAAAGTTTAATAATCTATAGTCAATAATAAAATTAAAGATACACTGAAAGAGAAAAAGAATACTGAAATAATGTCAAATAAAACATATGATGACTCAAAATAAGGTTTTATTTGGCAAAAATATTCAAGAATACCAGCGTACCTCTATTTCCTACAGGATGAGAAGCTAATCGCAAACCTTTAAAAATATTTTCATCCAGCCAAACATTCTAAAATTTTCTAATTCTACTTTTCTTAATAGCTCCTTTAATCACGCTCAAATTTAAATAAATGTTACACTTACCTAATATTTAATCTATTTTCCTTCGACGATCGTGACAACGTCAAGATTTTCGCGCTCATTAATCCCATCATTTATACGTCACTGTTTTGCTACTCCTATCGCCGCGCATGCGCTAAAAATCTGGCCCAGGATACGCGGCGGGTCGCCATGGAGACGCAGGGTCGCGTCTCACAATCATAAAAAGTCCCTAGACAAACATAACGGCTCGAATCCCTAAACTATGGAGCGACGCGGATGATTTCGCGGCCGTCAGCGGAATCCCGAGTCCCGTCGATCCGCGATCGTTTCATGCGGGACGGTAGATCGCGCCGATCGCGGTAGATCGGATTTCCGCGAGATCGTATTCGTACAACGACGAGCGGAGCGTCGCGACACTCGCGACGCGAGGAGAGGAGAAAAAGAAAAACAGAAAAGAAATCACCAGGGCGTCGCGGATCGCGGCCTGGTTCGCGGGCAGTTCCGGGTAGCGGAGAGACGCGGCCTCCCCCCCCCCTCCGACGGACTCGACGTCGCGACGACATCCCAAAACATGAATTCGCTCCGCGACCGCGATTGACATCCGACCTCGCTCTTTCTCCTACTTTTCTCTATTTCTGTCTAATCTCTCTCTCTCTCTTTCCCCCTCGTCTCTCGCACGAGGAAACGAAAGCGGAGTCGAGATCGCGTCGTCGCCGTCGCCGTCGTCGGAGGCCGGAGTCGCGCGGCCGACGGCTCCGTCGCTCGTTGTCGTCGGTCGTCGTCGAGTCGCGAGAGCGCATATACCGAGAGTGGGCACCGTGCGAACGCGGAGAACGCATCGCGCGTTCACGTTGCGTACGCACAGTACGCACACGCCACGGACCGGGCACGGGCACGGGCACAGGGTAGAGGCCGCAGAGGGAAAGTGCGCGCTGTCCGTCGGTCGCGGTCTCGGCGTCTCGCGTCGCGTCGCACTGTGTGCCGCCGTGCCGTCGTGTGCCGTGGCGATCCTCCCGAGCCTCCTCGTTCGGATACTGCCCAGCCATGATAGCTACCGCGAGCGCGTCTCCGCCGCGACGCGAGAGGCACGTCGCCGCGCCGCTCTAGCTTTAGGGGCCCGACCGACCGCAAGATGCGAGAGGTCCGTTCTCGGGAGAGCATCATCGCGGTAAGTAACGCGTCGTCCTCGTCGTCGTCCGTCGTCGTCGTCGACGACGACGGGCCACCCCGCGTCGTCCTGAGGAAAAAAAAAGAAAGAAAGAACATCGCACGGCTAGTACGCCTGGCCTTCTCTTCCGCCCCCGCCATTAGTCCCGTGTTCTCGCGTACGGCGTTCCGTCGCCGTCGACGTTCTCGGGCCTTCTCGGACGACGGCGGCGTCCTCCTCCGAGAGGAAGAGGACCGTTATGTCGACGCGCGCCCGCAAGGCAGTCCGCCCATAGGCCGCCACCGCCGCCGCCGCCGCCGTTGCCGTGTCCCGTCCTGGTCGATACGAAGGGACCCGACGAAGGCCTCGTCTCGTCCGTGGCGCTGACTTCCGAGGGGGGATCTTCCGAAACCCCGATGTTCCGAGCGCGAGGCGACGCCGTCTTCGCCGCCGCGGAGGATCGTTCGGCAGGACGGCGTGTTTAAAGAACCCACCCGCGACGGGGACACTCGAGCATCGGTGAACATTCCTCCCCCCTCCCCCCCATCTTCCTCGACGTGGTGACGCGGTGGAGTTTCGGTGGGTTTGGTTCGCCCCCGCGGAGGTTCAGGTTCAGGTTCAGGGTCAGGTTCGGGTCCGGGTGGCGCGCGAGGGTGCCCCCTCGCCCTCCCGTTCACCGAGGGGAGCAACGTGGACGCGGCGCAGCGTCGCGAGGGGGAACTCGGGCGTGTGCGTTTAAAGGGCGGAGGGGGCGGCGGGGAGGGGAAAGGGATACAGAGTCGCTCTTGTCGGTGAGCCGTGCGGTGTTTTTGACACCAATGACACCTGAGTAACAGCTGAGTAGGTTACGGCTAGGCGAGGCGAGATGTTCGTTCCCTTCGAGAAACGTCGCTAGATCGCTCCGGACTCCGGAGTCCGGGAAGGGGGGACGGAGGGGGGTATCGAGTCGTCGGTCGGGAACCGGACAATGCCGCGCGTCCGTATGGCGTAGCGTCTTGGATCCTATACTTACGTTCCGTTTCTCGCTCGAGTGTGGACCTATAGGGAGTCATTCATAGGCTCCGAGATGGCGTTTTGCCAATTAAGTCGGTTCGCTCGCTCCGGAAAGTCGCGCGGAACAATAACGATGCAAGGTGCACCACCGAGTCTGACGTCCCAGTAGAGCTTGATCTGGGGTACATTAACCTTCAATATGTTAAAAATGCATTAAGGATACATCGAATGTGCATTAACCTTAAATCCGCTTGGGGAAAACCTGCTTAACCTATTAATGCGGTTAATTAGAGGAAGGGAAAAAGTCTTTTTGTCGCGCAGAAGCGCCCTCTTTTTTTTCGTCATCATGTTTCATTTGTATTTGATTGTATTGTCTTTCTTTTTTAGTGAAAGTCAGCGTCGCAGAATGGTGGTGGACTACTGCGAGTCGATTCAGGCCTCAGCAACTGCAGTAAGAAAGCAGGAGCGAAGGTTAGGTGGCACGGTGGGTGCTGCAAAGATGCAGCCCAACAGCGGTGGAGGATGTGGAATGACACCCAAAGAGCTCTCCGACAATGACGACCTGGCTACGTCCCTCGTGCTGGATCCCTACCTAGGATTTACCACCCATAAGATGAACATCAGGTATACTATCGTTCGACCAATTCAAATGTACAAACGTACAAGTTATCCAAACTATTTTCTAAAATTCCATTCCGTCTGACAGGTACAGGCCGTTAAAGGCGAATAAGGAAGAGCTGCGAAAGATCATCCGTGAATTTAAGGAAACTCAAAATTACGAGAAGGCGTACAAGAAGTTGATGGGTGGTGATTGGGGCGCGCGGCTACCCCACACAAAGTCCAAACAGCAGCAAATCAATCTGGAGAATCACGTAAGTTACAGATGCACATTGATGCCGCTTTCAAATTGCATTGTTTTATTTTAGCGAGAAACTTGCATCACTTTTTGATACAAGCAATAAATCGTGTGTGTGTGTGTAATAGTTATTGATTTTTACAGATCAAACGATACCTGCGAGTTTTCGATAAGGATTCCGGCTTTGCCATAGCGCCGTGCTATAGATACAGCTTAGAGGGACAAAAGGGTGCTAAGATATGCGCCACCCGTAAATGGATGAAACATGACAAAATTTCCTGCCTCGTCGGTTGCATAGCGGAGCTTAGTGAGAAGGTTTGAGCTTTGCAAAGTGTATAAAAAAGAAAATTTTGATGGAATTTTTTTCATTTCTACACATTTTCTCATTTTTTTCCATTTAATACATATTATCTTTATTTATTGTTGTATGTCTTTAGGAGGAAGCTGCGTTGCTGCATCCTGGGAAAAATGACTTCTCTGTGATGTTTAGTTGTCGAAAGAATTGCGCTCAATTGTGGTTGGGACCAGCCGCATACATAAACCATGACTGTAGAGCGAATTGCAAGGTAAATAATGGACACTCGACGAAATTTGAACGTGATTGCGTAAGAATTATTATGTAAACGCGAGAGTTATTATTTTCGCAGTTTGTGCCGACGGGAAGAGACACGGCGTGCGTCAAGGTGTTGCGCGATATCGAGGTGGGCGAGGAAATCACCTGCTTTTACGGGGAGGATTTCTTCGGCGATGGCAACTGTTACTGCGAGTGTGAAACCTGTGAGAGGCGAGGGACCGGCGCATTCGCGAGCCAGAAGCCGGGCGAGGAGCTGTCGTCCGGTATGCTACACGTGACATTTAAGGCACAAAGGCTGTTTGTCAGCTTCGTTCACTTATCTTCTCTTTTTTTTTTTCTATTTTCGTAGGTTATCGTTTGAGGGAAACAGATAATCGAATCAATCGAACTAAACATCGGCAGCAGCCATTGAACAGGAACAAACAGCAAGTCGATACCGCTCTCACCGAGCGAAACACCGTTCTGGTCGTAAATGCGGCGGTTGCGCCGCAGTCTCTCAGCATGAAGGAGCTGCGACGCAAAGGGATTACAAAGTACGACGCCGAGCTGATCGCGCAAGGCTGCCGTTTCTCCGACATCAATCAGCAGCAGCCGGCGATCAACAACGGCGAGAATATGCTGCAAACTCGTCCCTCTGCAATCGCGACTTCCGTCACGAGGAGTCTCCGTAACAAACAGATGTGCAAGTTTGACGGCAATGCCGGTGACGGAAGTATCATCAAGAATACTCAGTCGCTCAGAGCGTCCAGGTAGCTTATTAGGCTCTTGCGCGCGATTAAATATTTTTCTTCTATTAATTTAATTGTAAATTAATTTTTTCTTCTTGTCTGTAAACACTGAAGTAATAAATTCTAATTTTAAATTAATTTTTATTTTTTATTTTGTAGACTTCACAAGAGAACGGAATCGAAAAAAGGGAAAGTCGGGGTGAAGTCCGCGTCGTCCTGTCTCAGTAATCCCGCTGTGAAAGACACGGAAGTGGCGGATATCGGTCATCGAAAGGAGGATTCCGACAGACCGGTGCACAAGGAGAATTTGTATTCGCAATTACAAAAGCATCATCTGCCAAACGCATCGGAAATGGACCACGGTTTTTGCATGGAGCAGCCGCGACAGCGCACCGTGGCGGAGGAATCGAATGAAAATGCCTGTCCGCTGCGACTGATGGAGATAGAGGACACTGGTGAATCGAACGGTGATGGCGACTCTGCGGAGGATGAACGGGGAATACCGGATCTCATCGCGGAAGTCGATCCCGAGACAGTAGATAACGTTAATTCTTCCAGTTACAAAAAGGGACATTATAGTACAAATGCCTGTGATTCAATCCGATTAAGTTCCACGTCTCAAACTTATGTACAACGTTTACATACCGCGGAATTTATTCCCGAGGATACGAACTGTCGCTCGAGGGACTACCATCATTCGTCGCCTATGCGGCACAAGGAAGCCGAGAACGATCCTTATGGCGCGGCTGAGCAGGTGAATTGCGTTAACAAACGTTCCAAGTCTCATAGCAATCGGCTTTCTTCGACGGACGAGCAAGACGATCGCAAGACGCCGAACGAGGAGTCGTCTTACGAGTTTGAGGACGATGATTCGTCGCCGCCGCCAATCGAAGAAAAGAAAATGTTGCGGACTGATTTTCGAGAGAATGACATCTTACACGAGACGAGTTCTCGATCGGATGACGAATGTTGCGATATAAACTCCGCGAAAGTAATCGTGGTGCAGAAATACGATGTGGAGAAAGAAGAGGAAAGTGAAAGTTGCGGGAGTCCGATCACCGTCGACGCGTCGGCGGCGAATCACTCGGACAGTATCGAATTTTGTGGATTGAACTCGGAGGGAGTTGTAGAGGCAGAAGTTGAGAACGATTTAAAATGTTATAGTAGTACAGTTTCGAATCAGGAAGAAGAAGAAGAAGAAGAGGGCGTCGTAACAAAAAGTGATGCGTATGTCGAACCTGGCATTAGATCCGGAATGGCGACATTATGCGCGACGGAGATGGACTCCAGAATAAATATTACGGAAGGAAATAACACGACGGTCTTCAGTAACGTACAGATCACGAACTATAATAGCGATTTAACCGGCCATATGAATTTAGAGGACAATCGCCATTCTGCGTTAAAGAGATCGACATCCAGGCGGAAAGATCACGCCTTCGACGCGTCCTCGAAGTCGTCTCGCAAGCTGCAGAAGAGACTTTCGAACGCCAAGTCCAAGTTCGGGATTTTGATGGAGAGTATGCAGGACGATTCGAAGAGTCACGGTAAGGGCAAGAGCAAGAATAAATCTACCAAGAGTCACAGGAGGGATCGGCAGAGATCGGCGACGGCCGAGATAGGGGAGGCCGACGATGATTCGGGCATCCAGGGCGATATCTACGAGTTCAGCGAAAAGGAGAGCAACCTGGAAGATATCGGTATACTGTCCATAATAAGACGCGGCAAGCACGAATCTCGTCACGCGTCCTCCGCTTCGATAGCGGTGTCGCCTGTGCAGGAGATGCAGTGCAATGACGAGTACAATAAAGCCGAGCCGCCAGTGCTGGTCCGGGAGGAACCGTGGCCTCCGACCGTAGCACAGAGCGAACATGGCGCAGAATCCAATAGTGTTCAGTCAAGAGGAAACTGTGATGTTGCAGTGAGCTTGGAACGGTAAATATGTAATGAATATATGAAGTTTATTTTTATCATTTAGAACACAAGCGTGAACCAAATCTATAAATATTTTTCGCGAGAGATTTTATAAAGTTAACATTTTCTTTTCTAAACCGGAGGGATCTTCTTTCAGGTTGACAGCCTACGAGAGCAATGGTAGCGCGCGAAAATCAAGCACAACCCCGTCCGAGTGTCGATGGCGAACGAGCAATTCCAGCGATTGTCGAGTTTGTCCTGTCACGCCGGAGAGGACCGGCGGTCGGCTGAAGCTGACGCTGCGAATGAAGCGGTCGCCCGTGCTGGACGACATAGCCGAGTCCGGCACCAGCGGCATGAGCGAGGACAGCTACGAGCCGGAGTATGAGGTGCTGCGCGTCGAGGGATTGGAGAGGCGCAAACGCCGGAAGAAGCACAAGAGCAGGGACCGTGAGAGACGGCATAAGAAGTCGCGCGAATTGAATCTCGATCCGCCGCCGCCGCCCATGAAAAGATTACGCTTGATCCTCGGCAACGAGACACGTACCATCGATCTAACGCATTCTTAACAGCTATAATTCCATCTGTCCCCCGCCCCCACTCCCTCGACTTGCCCCCCTCCCCTTTTCTCTCCATCGTTCATGACGCGCGTGTAATATCGATTTCATTACGATATATATATAGACTATCTTTTTAAACATAATTAAAAAAACGAAAGATCATTCAGGAAGTTAAGCCTCCTCGTCCTACGACATGTGACAGCAAGTTCATATCGAACTTGAAGATACTTTTCACGATCAAACTTGATTTATAGTGATACAACTAGCATCGCCACATTTTCTCCCTATCTTTCTCATTCTCTTTCTCATTCTCTTTCTCATTCTCTCTCATCTCTCTGTCATCTCTCTGTCTCTCTTTCTCTTTCTCTCTTGTAGTCCACGTTATTTAAATCTTTTAGCAGTATATGTCTTATTCTTATAACAACAACGAATCTCTGAGGGCCTATCGAGATATCGTAAGCGAGAAAACGTGTAGGAAGAAGCTTTAGATACGCGCACCTACATATTTCTCCCATGTAGAATTAAATTGAATACCGCGTACAAAATCAGAGCCATAGTACGTGAATACTTATCCAAGCGTCATACAGTTCTATAGATTAATAAAGTGCTCTAGCGTACTAAAGAGATAATTCCACTTAACGATTCAATTGAAGTCAAATCGAGCATATTGTTTTTCGAAATTTTTGCTATCCTTAAAGGATATCAGATTGCATGATTTCCGAAAGGTCTCTTTCCTTTTTCTTGTATTTCTTTTCTTCCAGCTAATCCGTTTCTCGATAAATTGTATACGAAATACATTGTATCAATCTCGTACTTCGTGAGATAAGCATAGTCAAGTTGAATCTTACAAATTGTATCTCTTCTCGTGGAATCGTTTCGTAAAAAAACATTGCTGCTTTCCATGGTACTCCGGAACGGAGAAGGACGTAGGAGGAGGATCCCTATACTTATACTATGTATAATAATAATTATCTAACTGACTAAAAGGAAATTTAGCTAAATATTAGTTAGCACTTATAATCATTATTCTCGAACGAAAGGTCAAAAATATCATGTGGAGAACCTTGTAAATATTGCTTATACATATATTGTAAGAGGTTTATATATATATTACCATATATATATTCTGTATTTCGGTGTATTACAATGTCTTTCGATGCGAGGTGCAGGCAGGCACCGCATTGCATATACCATTGTATACGGAACGCACCGATAACCCGATACTGTAGTAACGAAATATTAATAAGAAAGAGGGTTTCACATTCGCGGCAACGTTTTCGTTATATTACGCGCCGTTTAGAATCAGAATGTCCACAATGCAAATGAGGGGACGAAACGCGCCTTTGCGCATAAGAGATCAACATCTGTTCCACATCGCTTCTATGTTCGCGGACGAAAGTGTGATATACGTGAGGGTTGGAGAAGCGAAACTTGCGTTACTCGAAATTTTTTCGATATTAAATTAGAGCGCAATTTTATTCTGCAACAGATATAAACCAGATATTTTTTTTCTAATCCAATAACGAAAAAAATGCAGAATACAAGTTTCGCTTCTGTCGAGTTGGAAGGAGAGTAATATTGTTATTTCAAAAGTTTCAGTAAAGAGATCAGGATTTTCAGATGATAATTCAATCGAGATTTAAAAAAATTGTTACAAAGCAATATTACTTTATCTCCAATCCTGGCATCCAGTTTCTCACGTTGTTAGAACACTTACAGTAGAAATCATTGAAATTTTCAAAGTTTTTAAAATGTGATATCGCGTAAGTTTGAAAGAAGTTCCGTATGAAGTAAAAGTTATGCGACGCATACGCAATATTTGTTCATTGTACGCCGAGATTTAGTTAAAATTCTTCGATTTTACTTGACAAATGGGCCGTTACTGTCCAATGCCGTTAATATCCAACGCCGATCATTTGGTGTTTTTAATATGCAAATTATACACGATTAACAAATAATAAAAAAAGAATCTCGTTACGTTCCGAGCGAGCTATAGAGAAACGACTTTGCATTGTGTCGTATAGCAATGAAAAAACTCATACTGCATAGAATACAATAGGTTTATTGATTTTTTTTTCTAAAGAAAATTGTTTGAGTGCTCTAAGCTGCCACGCAGAATTATAGAAAAATTATTTATATATTAATTATTTATTGCACATTTAATGATAATAGATTAGTTATATGAGGATGATAAAAATGCATGGTAATTAAATTAAATTCAATTAATATTAGCCATTTTAATTGTTGCTTTCTCAATTAATGTTTACCATTTCACCAAATTTCTGAATGCAATCCTCCCCGAATCGAGCCCTTTTTTCTTATGCAAAGAAAAGAGGGAACTGTAAATAGTTGTGATATTCATAAATCCTACAAAAGAGATAGTAATCTTACTCCTTTTTTACTTACACATTATATAGATATATCGAGAGAATAAATTCTAAAAAAAAAAAAAAAATAAATTTACTCCAAGTCGTAATTTTTTTAATGGACAGCATATAGAATCGATTGCACCGTAGCATTAATTAATTAGCGATTGCTTAGCTTATTCCGAGTTCTAACTCTGACACATAGAAAGAAAATTTGACTGGAAAATATGAACTCGTGGAATATTAACCGATAACAGCAATTGATAAGAGTATTAATAGGAGATATTGATGGAATCGATTAATTAATAATTAGTATACTGATTGACTATTAATTCGTAACCAAATCGGTCAACAAAATTTAACGGCGAATAAAAAGAAATGCGTTTACCTTGAACTTTTTGATTCTCGATTAAAATAATTATTTGTATTATATGTAATTGATTCTTATCGCATTAAAATTAAAGTGAATTAGACACCTTTTCATCGTTTAAAGATCACTTGAAACTAAAAAGGTCGAAGATATGTAATACGAATTCATAAATGAATATATGTTATTATCACATAATAAGCGCGATATAATTCGAGGACTATTCGCCGGCGCAGCTTCGCCGTGTAATCATAATGATCCTTTGTCAACGCTGCGTGATCGTAGCGGCCCATTTCGAGAACGAGAGATTTTCATTTGACTTTGTCTCTTTACTCGCAATTTGCACAGCAATTGTACAGCCAGTCGTTACGCGATCGACTCGAAGCGTTTTCTTAAGGGAAGAAAATGAAGGAGAAAGGGAACGGGACATTCCCCGAATTTACGAGAGGGAAATTTCTCGAAGCGTTTCTTCTATTCGCAACAACAGTTTTGCGTCGCAACATCATTTCCCGAATCAGCGATGTCATTTTCTTCGTTTTTCCCCTTTAGACCGTCGCACGCGTCGACGCTTTCTCCCTCATTCGTTATCGGCAGAATTTTTGTCTCACTGCCATTAGAAGAATGATGCTAATTTGTACGTTTCGATTAATCGCGAGAGTGTAAGGAGTGTAAGAAAAATCATAAGTCGCATCCCCCGCGTTGCAAACGATCATTGTTATTAGATGAATTTCGTGTGTGAATCATTGCGAATCGAGGAGGACGATATTTTGCGAGTCTCTCTTCCGAGATTCGCCCGGCGAAGTAGAAAGAAGAAAAAAAGAAAGGAAGGGAAGAAACGAATTTCTTTTTTTTTCTCGTAGAAGACTCGCGACCGCGCGCGGCGCGTACATTGTAATTATACATATTATCTTATTTGTTGAGCGACAGATATATAGAAATGTACATTGTCATTATTATTTTCTACGGATTAAGGAACCATAATAAATGAATCGCATAAACGTAATTATGGTTTTCTCAATTCTTTCAATCTCTATCTTGGTTTTTTTTCTCTTTCAAAGAAAATATTTGAAAAGCGCCGGCCTTTTCCACTGTAATTGATCTTCTTTTTCCAAGATTAAATGAGAGATTTAAATGAAAGATTGAACCTAGTACAAATCAGATTTTGCATTTTAAACCTTTATAACTCTTTCTTCAAGTCTATTCAAATTTTACGCCTTACAGATAAAGTAAGTAGTAACTTTATGAATGGTTGGTGAAATTAATAGTATTTTACCTAAAAAGCGAAATTTTTTAATCGAATTTGGATCCGATTATTTATTGCAAAGTTTTACAGAAACATATACTCTTTACAATGAAATCCATATAATGAAAACAAATTTTAAACTATTTCATAAAGATGAAACAATATTTATTTCGATATTGTACATTATTGCTTCTCTGTTTCTATTTATCTCAAATTTTGTGGTCTATGCCTGAATTAATTGAGAATCATTATTTTCGTAATCATAGTTGTCAGCAATCACATGAACTTCTAAAAGACTATTGATCTTTAATAATATCTTATCGAGTTATATGATCATAATTTTGCTCATAAATGTACATAAATAAAAGAAAGAAATAACAAAGTTTCGATTTTTGAAATTAAAAAGATACACATATTTTTAAATACAATATTGGTAAAGCGTCAGACTCACAACTATGACGAACCAGATTCTCAAGTCCCATTTGATCACAGGAATTTTAATATTCCAAACTGCATCCCTCGCACGAGAAATTAACAACGGGACTCTCGTGCGGAGAAACTGGGCGACTAACTTCTTGCTTGCAATTTGTATTAGTTGATGTTGCCCAAGCATTCGTGTTTATGCAATCGTGTTCGTCCTTCAACTGATAAGGGAACCTCGCGAAGTGGAAAATTCTGATTTTAATGAAACTTTTCACACATGTAGGGGGAGTAAAAAGATGAATTTAGATATTTTTTGTAGCGGCCCAAAAATGGTTTTAAGGGGTGAAACCACTGCTCATATAGAGCGGCTTTTTGCTTTTCTCGATATATTTTGAAAAGTATTCGAGATATAAAAAAATGTTTCAAATTAAAGTTTTATGGTAAAAACATCTCTATTTAACCACATTAATAAAATTTTGAAAAAAAAATTTTTTAAACAAAAATTATTTTTAAAAAATATTATATTAATGTTGTTGAATAGAGGAGATTTTACCATAAAACTTTTATTTGAAACATTTTTTGATATCTCGAATACTTTTCGAAATATATCAAGAAAAGCAAAAAGCCGCTCTACATATGAGGGGTGGTTTCACCCCTTAAAACCGTTTTTGGGCCGCTACAAAAAATATCTAAATTCATCTTTTTACTCTCCCTACATGTGTGGAAAGTTTCATTAAAATCAGAATTTTCCACTTCACGAGGTTCCCTTGTGAGCTAATTTAGCGCCATGTATATTTTTTAATTCTTGAATTTCTTGCAGTGTTATACACGTATCTCGTAGTTTTAATTTCTAATAATCCGACCGGCCAATTATCTTCTTTGTCAGTCTCCATCGACTCGGGCCACACCTAGCAACTGGCAACTGCTATCTGTACCCCTCCCTCCATTTGAATTAAGATACCGTGGGCTAATCCCCTGCATATCTGAACTTAAAGTGATTAAAAATAAAAAGCACAGAATACTCTACACCTTCGGATAAAAAAAGAATAGACTAACCTACGGAAGTGTTCCCCTCCGCTTTTGATGAGTTTTTAGTATGTTAGTCTCTGGATAAGAGGGACACGTATTTTTTTATACGTTCCCATCATACACGTGTTTAAGGGATGAAGCACCACTTAGAAAAAAAATCGGCTTTTCTCTTTCGGGCCGAATATCTCCGAAACTATAAAAGATAAAAAACAATAAAAATAAAAAATAAAATGAAATAATTTTATTTTGTTATCATTTTAAGTGCTCTTCAAACCATTCAACTTTTGTTTAAAAAAATTTTTTTATCTTTTATAGTTTCGGAGATATTCGGCCCAAAAGAGAAAAACCGATTTTTTTCAAAGAAGTGTTTTATCCGCTAAACACGCGTATGGACACGTATAAAAAAAATACGTGTCCCTTATTTTCATCTAGAGAACAACATAACTAAAATTCATCAAAAAAATCGGAGAGAGAAGATATATACACACACATATACATATATACATATATTACTATTTAACCTGGGAGGAGGAAATATATGTATATAGATTTATTCAAAATTTTCTGAAAAAGTAAGGAGAAACAAAAAAAAAATTTAATTAGAAAAAAGCAGATAAAAATTACTGCGATGTAAACTTCATTTTTTTGATACTGAGGTATAAGTCACCCCAGTATCGAAAAAATAAAGCTACACACACACACACACACACACACACACACACACACACATTACAGTAATTTTTATCTCAAAATCTCGGGTACTCGCAACTCGTGCGTTCGCGTAAAAGAATCACGGTGCGGTCTCACTTGGCGCGAGACACTGCCGTGTCTCTTGATGTGCTTCTTTCTAATTAAATATTTTTTTTGTTTTACCTTACTTTTTCAGAAAATGTTGAGTAAATTTATATTCACAAATTGTCCTCAAATATTAATAAATTCTAAGAACAATCAAAAATATACAATATGTAATTAATAACAATGATTTTTAATTGGGGTGTAAAAATTATCCTAGGTGACTATTTATGGAAAAAAAAAGAAAAATCAGGCATTCGTTTCCGGGTTAAACTGTATCATTGATAAAAATCATACATGTCTACAATAAGCGATTCCAAACGAGATGTTTTAAAGACATCTTAAAATAGTTTTAAAGATGTCATAAATTGGATTCTAAGATGTGTCTTAAAAGTACAAATGTCTTTAAACGTTTATGCGACTTCAAGATATTCTAATATTCTCTAGGGATGTTTCGACAATCTTGCTCAAAATTAGACTCGATCAATCGAGTCCATCGATGAGTTTGATTCAAGCCACTTACATGCGCTGTCCGTCTCATTTTATCGCGTTTTATTAGTGGGCCAGAAGTGATAAATAACGCTTACTCGGGGGATACTAACAATGTACCGTCATCTACTAAAATACACGGCTCTCGCGCGGCTTTCCGGAAAGTCGATACAGTTCGACCAACTTTTCTCTCTATTATTGCAAAGCGCGCGCGAACAGCGAAGAGCCACGACAGGGCTCGTTCACGGGAATTGACTGCTCATCAGATAGGGAATAAACCCGTGTATGCATTCCGCGCGCGTAATATTCTGCGGGCGCGGATGATGCCTGCGGAGCGGAATTTTAACGCGACTTCCGGACTTCCCTCGCCGGCCCCGATCAAAACGGGAACGCGTTACATCACGCGCATATCGCGCTTGTAAATGAGCGATCGCGTGTGCAACGTCGGGAATGCGTGTCGGCTGACGCGTAATACGCCTGACTGTTTGTTGCAACTCCGTATAATTATCTAATTTCGTTGCGCATAAGTAATCTCCGCGAGAGGGAAGGCGGCGCGCTCTCGTGTCGCATTTAAGTTTTTCCAAGTGGGAGCTTATCTCCCATCGCCTCGGGTTGATCTGCTTCCGAGTTTTCCCGGCGCGCGGTTTGAAGGAAATGGCCGAGAACCGATATCGAGATGCGAACTTCTATTTACGAAGAAGAAGAAGAAGAAGAAACGGCTTCGACTTTCCCGCGAGTAAGATCGGCTTCAATTTCGCGCTCTCGCGGTCGACGCGGTAAATTTAATTTCCCTTTCCCCGTTTACGTAGCCCCGAGAGTCGATTGATCTGCAAGGATCCATTCGGTGTCAATCCCGCGGCGGGACCGCGATTAAAAACGCTTTTCAACCGCTTCCTTTGGCGTCAGTGCTCGAGGGATCGAAATGAGAATCGCGCCTGTTCGCCGTCGCGGAAGAGAGTAGACAACGCGCGAGAGAGGCGGCGGCGACGCGCGCGCGTTCGCTTCTCTTCGTCGGATAATATTAAATCGCCAGCGTGTACGCCTATTATTGCGTGACACTCGGTTATACGGGCGACGTCGCACGGATGCCGTTGTGTTGACACGCACACATCTCGCCGGGTGTGACCTACATGATTCCATTATGCAGCGCGAGTTGTACCGACGTTGTAGATGTAGATAGACGACGCGACGCGCGCAAAGAGGGTCGGTCTCGCGGCGAGTTTTCTCTCTCTCTCTTTCTCTCTCTCGGCGTAGCGTTTAGCAGTCAGGGACGTTATCCGTCGACCGATCGTATATTTAGGGAAGACCCCGAAGGTGCAGACCGCACAGCTGTCGCGGACCGCCGCGCCGGTAGCCGCTATAGGAAGCGGTTATCGGGGGAATGATTTGCAAATTCTACGTTCCGGACCTAGAAACAATTGCTCCGCCTTCCCTGATGTTGAAATGTTGACAAACTCATTATCGAATGCCAGCGTATTCTCATTGTTGCATTAATAAATTTGAATCAATGGTTAATCAAAATGAAACGTCGCGCCGTTCGGTAACGAACGCTGATATCAATGTTTTTACACTCGGGTTAGACATCGAGACACATTGAAAATGACATTGCGGTAATTACTCGCGTTGATTTTAATTAATTCATTTTCACCGTAGAAATATCTCCCTTTTTACGACCGGCGGAGATACTCTCTATACTTTTTATAACTTTACTGTCTCTAATTGCAATTAATGTACACGCATTTTAATTAGTCGCTCGAAAGTTTTTCCGGTCGTCATATCGATCAATCAAATTCGATATTAATTATTAATGTTTATTCGCCCAGGTTTTTTCCACGGTAAATACTAACGGATATTGGTCGCCAGGCAGTTCTTATTTTATCGCGTGGCCGTTTGCATTGCCAATGTTCTTTTTTTTTTCGGATAATATTTCTGTCTCCGCGACTTTACATAATATCGGGAGAGGGAAGCTCAACAGAGCCGAAGAGAGACTTAAACTGTTCGTAAACTATAATGTTTCTTACGGCGTAATTTCGTGATCGATCGTACACCCTATAAAAATACGCGCCCCTTCGTATACGCGGTATTGTACGCGATAACAACAATAACCGTAATGTTGAGCGACACTTTTCACTACGTTTTATTCTAATTTCCCTGAGAGGTAATGTGTGTGCACTTCTACAAGTAATTATAATCTAATAAATTTTATCGTCTGACAAAAATTCTATTCGTGAAGTTTATATTAAATTCTCAATTTTCTACATTGTGTTTTACTATGATAATAAAAGGTCTGTTCGTTTTCGCTGCACTTTTGAACTAGAGCAAGATAGTGTAATAAGTTAGAATAAAATAAATATATATTTTCTCTTATTCTAACTTATTGCACCAGTTCAGAAGTGCAGCGAAAACAAACAGGCTTAATATCTTCTTCAGCAATCTTTCTGTGATTCGTCACAAATAGTACCTTGTTTGAATAAAATATTATTACTCATTAAGTTTTTATTTAATCTGACATTATATTTATTATTATTTAATAGAGATGTGCAAATCAAGGATTTTTTATTTCGAATCTAATTTTATTTCCTCTGTCGAATTCGAATCAAGTCGAATCGACAAAATTTCACTCGAATTGAAACGGATTGAATAATTTCGAATCGAATCGTTGAAATATAATTTTTAATTAAGAATATAATTATTATTAGATTGAATTTTTTAACACGTAGGTATTAAGAGAATATTTTAATGTGGAAAAATAATATTGATTATGTAATGTAAATTCTTTTTAAAACAAAAAGCATATTTAAATATTATAAAATTGACAATATATATGTATTTGTATTCGAATCATCTAGATTCAAAATTTTCGAATAGTTATATTCGAATAATTATTTGGATTCGAATCATAGAAATTTGAATTTGAATTTGAATAGTTCTCACATCTCTATTATTTAAGTAATTATTTGATTATATAGCAACATTTCTTCTTTAATAGAATTTTTACTTAAAGATGGATAGATGCAATTCTTATGAAACGTAAGAGGATCAGAAACGAGGCATTGGCACGTGAAATGAAAACAAAGCAACAAACTTATCTGATTTTTAATCCTCCATTTACCAAATAAATTCTGCTCTCGTGTACCGCTAAACGACGGAATTTGCACCCTTAAAATGGATCGGACTAGAAAAGGCCAAAACTCGCAGAACATAAATGGTTATCTCGTTTAAATTTTATCTTTTTTACGAAACTCAGAACCATACGCTCTACACGAACCGTTGTATATACCTACAACGTTGTATATAAACAATAATTGCACTTTCTGCATTTTGAGAAATCAAGATATACGATTATAAATAAAATTTAGTTATATATCTATACCTTAGAGAGGTAAAGCATCGTATCTCCAATTTATATCGAAACAAAGTTAATTTAATTTTTCTAATATATACTAGGCGCTTAAATTGTATAATGCTAAAGAGTCTTATCCATTGTTACTAAGATACAATATTCCTATACAACATTCTTACAGAATTTTCATACGGCTTTTTCTAAACATTGTATTAGTACAATTCAGAGAAAGTCGCATTGAAAATTTTCATAGAAATAATAAACTTTAAACCCTGTTTTCTCTAAATTTATAATAACGGAGATACGATTCTTTATACCTGTAAGGTACATATATATAATTATATATAAGTTAGATATAAGTTACATATGAGTTGTGTGTATATAAGTTAGATAATAGCTATATATAATATTTATGTTACAATACTTCGGTTCGATGTCGATCGAAGAAAGTGTAATCGTTGAATTATTAATTGACGGTAGATTTACTTGAACATTAAATAAATAAGTAAGAAAAATAGAAACTTTATATAAGAGCGAGAACTTACAAGTCGCCGAAGAATAAGTTTGGAGCGAAGACAAAAAGAAACGTTTTTACGAATGTTCGACGGCGATACCAATAGGAAAATGATGCCTCAATTGGCTCGCGCATAAATATGAACAATTACCTTACGTAATTTACTTATACAGGGTGTATTATAAGTCACGCCTTATCTCTGGAGAATAAATTAACGAAGTCAAAATAAATCGAAAATAAAGAATGACAAAATAACTATTACGTTTAAGTCTTCTTTAAAGAGTTACAATTAAGGATGTATATCGCTTATGTTAAAATAGAGGGATGAAACTGAAATTTACAGAGATTGTGCATTTACATATCCCAAAAATCTGTGTTAAATTTGCGATCGATTGTTTGACCGGTTTCTGAGATATTCGCTTTATTTAAAAATTACAGAAATTGTACATACATATATATAGATATTCCCTATGTAAATATCATACTATATATCTCTGCTCCAGTACAGTAAAAATGAATGGAATTTTTATGGTAAATTCTTCTATGACATCGAGAATTGCAATTACGGTTTTTTTTAATTTTTTCTGTTATATTTTTTTCAATTTTTAAATGATTTATTTAAACAATATCAAGTACACAAAAATGGGACAAAATTGCGATTTATACGCTTTTTTCTGTCTGAATGATAACATGTATACTTTAGAAGTTATTTGATTGTAACTTTTTAAATAAGGCTCAAACGTAATTTCGTCATCCCTTATTTCCGACTTATTTCGATTTTGTTAATTTATTCTCTCAGAGATGGGACGTGACTTATGATAAACCCTGTATATCTTACGTTAGATCGAAATAATTACGGCTCCCAGATCCCGCGGCTTAAGATCTGGGATAGTTGCACGGGGGTGTTTTTTAGCCGGTGCAAACCCGGCATAACCTTGGAGGCCGGCTCCAGGGTATGCGTCAGGCATTTTTCACCTCCAACGCAAAAAAAAAAAAAAAAAAAAAAATCACGTGCGAAAATTTATATCAACAAGAATTCTACTCTAATTAATTTCCGTACTGCCGCCGACATATGTATCTAATTATATTAATTTTAGTTCTGGCGTCCTCTCTTTTTCTCGCTCTGTCTTCCCCTTACGGGGGAACGACAATAATCGCGTTTCGTTGCGAAGGGCGAGAGGCTTTCGAAGGACGGTGCGCGACAAAGAGCCGGGGCGTTCTTTGCTAAATCATCCGCCTCTGTGCGAGTCTCTGAGAGTAAACTCGGCGGTCCCCCTTCACGTGGCGTGCGCGATCGTGAAAGTGGGTCGACTGAAATGGGTCGAAAATAAATTTTTCCGCCGATCGTCGTCGTCGTTCTACCGAGGAAGTGTTTTCCTTACGCGCGTGGTCCGTCGACTTACGCGTATCCCGATTTTCCTTCCGTCTCGTTCTTCGCCAATCTCGCGTACCCTATAATTGAACGAAAATCTCACGATGGAGAAACAAAATGTAAAAAAAGCTCATAAGAAAGGAACGTTTTTTCGACTATTCTTGTTACCAAAAATATCAAATTATCATAAAAGAAATTACAGTGCGGTAACTTTGTTAACAACATGGTACTGATAATAATAACATCTGATTCAAGGAAAAATTTGCAGTTATTATGTAAATTGCATTAAGTTTTGTAATCAGTTTTTTCGACCGCGGGGACCGCATTAGTATATATAGCCTACATATCAATTATAGAATAAATTTTGTTGTAAACTTTTTTTCCACCGATCTTGATATTTATACAGACTAATAATTAATTTCACACATAAATTAAACAAGTAAATTGTCTGTTAAATCAATAGCGAGAGAAAAAAAATTTCGAATCTAGTTTGTGCGAAACAATATATGTTTTACTACTGCGCCGTGTCTGACTACGAGTGTCACGTGCTACTGGCTACTCCCTATATGGTCCTTACCACTTGTCTGATTTCTACTAGCAATAACTACTGATATACTGGCGACACGGAGAAAAGTATCAAAAAGAAGGAAAGGCTTTATGTCGAATTGTAAATTATCGTTGAGAACAACTTGAACAGAAATATAAATTTGACGATTAAAAAAATGCAAATGAGAACGGTGAGGTTCTCAATTTTCTCCAAGGGTATCCCCGCGTAAAATCCGCCACTGTTTCCGGCACGGGGACTGGCAACACATTCACCACCGCCACCCATGCCCCGCGCCGTGGTCGGCTATAGCGCTCGCACGCGCTCGCGTCGCCTCGCGGCGTCTCGCACCGGACCGGACGGGAGCGGGGGTGGGCGTCGCGACGCCAGGCGTCGCTGGCGTCGTGCCGGCGGCATATCGTCCGAGTGCGGAGAGCGTGGAGTGCCGTCGTGTGCCCGTTGTCGCCGTCCACAGCCTGTGCGTCGCGCCCGCGGAAAAAAACAGGGTTCTCCGCTCTTCGGCTCGCGCGCTCCGGATCGGACGACGTCGCCGTCGTCGACCCCCGGGATACGCCGGACGGAAGTCGACGTTCGCCGACCGGAATTTCGGGACTACCCTGGCGCGCGCGCCAGCGAGGGGAAACGTGTACGCGGGGCGAGACCCCAACGCGGTGGAATGCGCGTATATATAGGAGAAGGGAGCACTGGCCGTACGGGTGCTCGAGCGAGACAGAGAGCGGTGCAGTGACATCGGGGTTGCTCGCCGTGAGCCGCGAAGGGAGGCGAGGCCGAGGGGGAGAGGCAGCAGCGCGAGAGAGGACAGAAGGGCGAAGAGAGCTCGGGAATCGCGAAGGGAAGGAAGACTCGGGAAAGGGCGAAGGAGAGAGATTTTCTCCCCGTCGTCGTCGTCGTCGTCCTCTCGTTGTTGTCACGAGAGCAAAAAGAGCGCGAGGGGGTACTAAAGCAAAAAGGCAGGAAATCCGGGGATCGAATCGTGGACGCCTCTTCGACATCGTCGTCGAGACATCGTCGTCGTCGTCGAGCACCTCTTCTTCTTTCTCTCCGGTACCTATCTCTTCGCGGCCGGAAGTGGTCGAGCGCGCCGGGCGGGAATTTCGTTGCCGGGAATTCCCCATTCGCGCTCCCCGAGACTCCGGTACCACATCGAGGGTGCGTGCCGCTCCTCTCGGGGATGCCGTATATGTAGAGGAAGCGAGTAACGCGCGCGCACGCACGCACGCGGTATCGGTCTTTACCTCTGCGCTCTTTCTCTCTCTTTCTTTCTCTCTTTCTCTTTCTCTCTCTTTTCTCTCCCTCTCGTCGGCGCGAGAAAGAGAACCGCGTATATATAAATATAATAGAACGCACCTAGATATCTATTTATAAGTTTGTACGAAGCAGGAGAGGCCGCGAGAGAACTGAGGGACCGAGATAGCAGGAGGCGGCGGGATGGAGATGGAACATTGCGAGAAGAGGAACGGAAAGAGAAACTTGTAAAGATGAAAGGAGAAGAATAAAGAGAAAGAGGGAAAGAGAGAGGGTCAAGCAGAAGGAGAGAGCGAGCTGAATAGAAGAAGCGAAAAGGAGTGGTGGCGGAACGTGTGACGGTGGTGCGCCCGCGCTCGGTTTTCCCCACGTCTTCCATCGTAGTAGTGTACCGGTCGTCGTTCCTGGTGGCGGTGCTGGTGGTGGTGGTGGTGGTGGTCGCGATTGGTGGTGGTGCTGATGGTGGTGCTGGTGGTATTGGTCTTGTAGTACAGTGGGTGCTCTCGCGCTGTGTCCAGGAGGTAGCGAGCGGTCGCGACGTAGCGCCACGAGGGAGGTGTTGTTGGGCGAAGATACACACGCGCGTCGCGCGCGTGCGGAAAGCCGCGGGAAGGGAGGGAGCGAGAGGCTTCTCAGGCGAAGAGGGTGCGTTGCGCCCTGCGTAAACCTCGCGGAAGCGGTGCCGGGTCGACCGAGAGGCCGGCACGATCGAGAGGACCGGAGAGGACCGGAGCAGATTGCAGGGACCGGAAACGGAGACGGAGGGAAAGGGCGAATCTCTCGTCTCTCGCACGGGTATAGAGTGAGGCAGTGAGCCGCGCGGCAGCAGGTCTTGCCGAGCAGCGATCTTGCGGGGCCGCGCGTAAATACGAGTGCGAGTGAACGCGCGGATATGACGAGCGGATACGCCCGGCGGCTCACGTGATACGCAACGCAATCATCGTGCTCCGCCGCCGAGGAAGATATGTGGTAAGTGCGATCCTGCCTCCCCTCTACCCCTCCTACCTTCCGCTTTCTCGAGAGGGTGATCGACGGTGGGATCAGCAGTCGTTTTCTCGGTGTCGAGGATCGACGGAAGTGATGCTAGAAATTGATGGAAATGATCTTCGTGGGATCGTCGATGAGATTCTTCGAGATAATGCTGCTCCGCATGTCGGACGTCACGTTGTGCGTTTGAATCGCTTTGAGGAGACGCGCGAAGATCGGAAAAACTTACGTCGTGATCGATCAATCGCGAAATCCGCGAAGATCGTGATCTAGATGGAGCTTCTTAGACAGCATCATGTCCATAATCGGGACATAAGACGTCTTATGTCCCGATTTTGGACACGCGTGCTATCTGAGTTGTTGCTAAAACTCGTTGACGAATACACCCGATGTGTAATTGGAGGAAGATCGGTATCTTTTTTTTTTTTAGAATAGTAAAGGTGTTGGTAGGTTTTGAAAGAAATTTGAGATTGATTTGTTAAATCAGTGTCACGTCATCGGGATGATTCTTTTTTGTTGGAGCGTGAGAAATACAGCGTTACGTCTTTTGGTGATTTTCAAAGGTCGATAAGAATCCCGCTTCATCGGTCACATTCGTTCGATTGTTGCACCGTTCGGAGGAAATTGGTGAGATTATATAAGACGACTATATCTCGTCCTCGCGTATAACATTTTGCGAGGTCGTTTAACTTGGCGGGACTTTACATAAAATAAGCCGGTTATTCTCGAATTTCAATATCGACGCTTTAATTTCTGATTTTTATTTTCGTTTCATATTAAATATTTTCTGAGTGATAAATAGCAATATAAAATACAAATGTGAACACTACATGTCAAGAAGATAAAACCGTTTATAAAAAGAGAAAAGAGAATAATAGTGATACTATAATATTTGTTTATACGTGCTGCATTATAAACACACATTAAATACGATAATAAAACAATAAAAACCGGCATCCTAAAATAATAGCTCATCATTAAAATCATCTTCAAGTTCGTTAAAAGACGATTAAAATTAATTTTTTCTTAAATTAATATTATTAAAATAAAAATTAACGTTATTAAATTAAAAATAATATTTCTAAAGTTAAAATTAACGTTTTAACCCTTGAATACTCCATATCTATCAATTTTCGTAGATAATTATAGATAAATTGGAAATGCTGTATACAAATTTAAATTATAAGGAACTTGTTTTTCTGATCACTGATATATATATACATATATCACGTAATCATCACTGACCAACAGATTATTAGCGAAGCAGTCGAATGGCGTGTGCAGAGACAGATTTGTGCACATTCAATACTTGAATCGCTCCGGTGGCGGTGGCAGATGTTTCAGTCAATACACTCGTTTCATAAACAGCGCGGTGAAAAAGTGCCCTGAAAGTTGCAGCTCCGAGAAGAAACGGCGCGTTGGCCCGGTTCTGAAGTTTCGCGCGCCGGTTTTACGGTAAACGTTTACGTTCGACCATACCGCAAAATTTACATCAAGATCCGTTTTTTAAACTAGATTCTGCTGAACGTCGCTCCTGCTAACGCCGCACGCTGGCGAGACAATCGCTTTTCGTCGCGCGTTTGATTAATTCGAACAAAAACTCCAATCTATCATAAAACAAACAGACATTCGACGAAATACACAATGTCGATATCGTTATTTTCTTCCGCCGTGACGCTTTATTACGAGTTTTCGATTTCTCGCGTAGAACAAGTCTCGTGAAAATTAAAGAAGCATGTTTGAAAGAAGAATCGCGATATCGTGTCATATTGGATTATACAACTGATAAAAGATCAAAGAAGCTAAGCAACCAGGCTCTTGAGAAACGGATTCCAAGATTCATGTTAAGAAAGGCTATATGATATAACATTTTATGTGATAAGAATAATTCATGATGCGATAATTCTTAATAAATAAATAAATAAATTTAAAAGTACAATAAATGTGCGTGTTGTAACACATAAACATGTTACATATATGCATAACATTTATGAAGATAATTGTTAATAAGAAATAATACTTAATTACTTGACACAAACTTTTTGGGGGCGTCCAAATACTTCTCAAGTGCAAAACTTTCGAACTGCTTTAAACGTTTAAACGCAATAAGTTCCTAAAATTGTATTCAACTTTAAACGTTTCGCATTGGCGAAACTTTAAGCAAAATGCTATCCGTATTATAAGTCCAGCGCGCGAAGACTGTATAATGAAGAAAGATCAGGTATGATAAAGCTGTCCACGTTGCGACAGTTTCAAAGGGAGTGAATGGCACTGCCGATTAAAAGGACTATTAAAAGGGGATAAGGGAGTCTTCTGTCATCCGAAAAGAACGCTCGCGAGTGCAAATCGCCGAGTGACCTTGCGCCCGCGAGAGTCTCCCCGTGGAATGTGCCGGCTGGATTAATGAATTTCATTAAGTCGGCGGGCCGGGCCGGGCGCGAGGTGCCTTAACGAGGGTACGGGCACGAAACAAATTGGCGAATTTCATTATGCTGTCCCCCAACCGCGATAATTTGGATACACAAACAGAGTCTGACAGAATCCCGTGTTTTTCTAGCCTCGCGGTAGTGACGGACGGCAGTGGACAGATGTGTTTTATAAAAGACGGACACACGGGATCCTCGAACTGTATTTTGCGCTCGTTATGTCATGAAGACATTTGTAAGAGTGCCTCAAAGGATTCCCCAGACAGCATCATGTCCAAAATCGGGACATAAGACGTCTTTAAGACGTCTTAAAGATGTCTTAAAAATGTCTTATGTCCAGATTTTGGACATGCCGCTGTCTGGGCTATATAACGATAGCACATTGGCTGCATATTGAATCAATGTGTGAATCAATGCCTGACAAAATTGAATTTTTATCACTCCTTCCATAAGACACGCACATGTAATATTTCAACGATTTTTTAAATAACGATAAAGTAATAAATGTCATTTAAAAACCAATGATTAAAATATTCCTTCTTGGTACACAAAGGGTGGATTTTTCATTTAAAACACTGGCGACCAACGTATTAAATAAACGCAAATATATTTATGATGTAACGGATGTATTCATCCATTTTCGATTGTACAAAAGATTAAAAGATTATTCTGTCGTCGTTTACCTATCGGCGGGAAATCACAGAATTAATTTGCAACGCTCTGCCTCTCTCTCACGGTTGCCTTGCGCCAATCCGGGGATGAAGCGAGTCGCGCGTCTTCTCGGCCAATTCCTGACGAGCTGGCCGATGACGGTAGCGTTTATTTTGCGCTCTAATGACAGATGCATTTACTCGGCTCGCTATGCACCGCCGACACGTGTCGCCGGGATAGAGAGAGAGAAAGAGAGCGGTATGCGCGCTATCAATATGCAGTTTGTTCGAACTACTACTACGTGCGATGCCAGCGGAGCTTCTTTACATACTCGGCGATACATTACCCGGCCGCCGTCACACAGAACGCAAACTACGTTTTGATTCATCGGTTAAACTCACCGCTCCGTCAGTGTATAGCCGCATCCGTTTAGCGATGCGGCGAAACGGGACACAAAGGACCGAGAAAACTCGGTCGGCTTCTCTCCCTCAGTTCTCCTCACTCGACTCGTGAAAATCAGCTCGCATAATCGCCGCACATTGTAAAAACAGTGGCGACTGTTAGCTGCGAATTTCTTGGCACGCGTAGACTTCGCGCAGTTTAATCGACTTTCCATACAGTTAAAATGCGGCGTAACGAATTGCGAGTGAATTTTAAGAATTCAAGAACTTATTCTATGTAAATTATTCTATGTAAATTAGGGATGTACATTTTATTTGGTGGCGGGTTGTAGAAAAATGCTTCGGATTTAACGAGAGAGCGAATAAGGGAGTATTTAAAGAGCGGGACACGCTTCCGGTAAGCTAAAGTGGCCATTAACGTTTTCGTCTATAGCTATTTGATGCACATTTCAGCAGGCTGCTCGCGCGCTGTGTATACACATTTAGATTTATCTAATAACAGCGAGCCAAAATACGTCGATAGTCTAGTGCATGACTAGGTACGCGCCTGTTTAGTTGCGAATCGCTAGGCAAATTTAGCTTCGAGGTCAATCAACTGAGCCGTTTCGGGCGATCGGGACTGGAGCGCCGATGTCAACCGCATCGTTCCGTCAATTTAATCGAGAATCACGGTCGCCCGAATTTTGCTCGTCTCGCACAAATGCTTATATTTTGATGAAAAAATATAAAAATATAAAAAATATTCGCAACGAAGAAAAACGATGCATGGTGCATTGGTAAATTGTGCACTCTAAATTTCTTAGAGTAATGAACACTCGAGAAAATTGACTGACTGATCGAATCACTCAAATTAGAATGACTTTTCACTCATAGGAATGAATTCTCTCACTTTTTGCTGTAGAGTGAAAAATGTACTCTGCAAAATGGAGTAAATATATGTACTCTATTTTGTAAAGCGAATATTTTCACTCTATGTAATGTGAAGTAAATATTTTTATTTGTGAACACACACAGTGAGTGAAGCATGCATGGGTCCGCCATTAGCAAAAGGAAAACTGTCGTCTCGTTGTTTCTCAACGTTATTATTTTCCGTTGCGCGTGTACTTATCGGTACGAGACATGTCCATGTCCCTTCATAAGGATATAAAGATTGTAATCAAGGGATACTTTATATCCTTAAACGTTAAATCGGTAAATGAACAACATAAATTGTTATAAGCATTTACCTCTGGATAGAAACATTGATATTTCTTGATATATTGATATATAGAGGTAAGTGCTTATAACAATTTTATGTAGTTCATTCACCGATTTAATTGCTATATAAAGAATGGTGCTTAGGTTAGATTGTGTTTCTAGAATAGCACGTTCACTTTACGTTCAGAGTTAAACAGTTAACTTTTGTGAAAAGTGAATTTTTACTAATTACGAGTGGCGGTATTTTCACTATCGCTTGAAGTGAATACTCACTCGTTTGGAGTTGGATTTTACTCTAAGAAATTTA